CTTTTTTCCCCTCTCTCTCCTCCTTCGTTTTCACACTTCTCACTTGTCTCTCAGCCTCTCTTTCTTCCCTTTTTCCGACCGTTAATCTCTCTCTTCACAAAACCCTTAAGATTCTCACCCGTTTCTATCCCTCTCTCTACTTTTCGTAGCCTTTAATATTTATCTCTCTCCAAAAAGTGTCCAACACTTAAATGAAAGCCATCAATTTCCATTAATTCCTCCCTCCCTATATCCCTCCCTTTCCTGTGCGTACTCAGAAATCGGCCATGAACAAACTGCCGTTCATTCTCTCTTGAACTTCCTCCTCCGTCTGTCTCCCCAAATTTCTTTAATTACAATAATTTAATTATATTTTCCGGTGAAATGCCTTGCTCTCTTTTCCACTACAGATTTCAATTAGGAACCCAACAGTGTCGCTCCATCCCCTCCCTCCGACCAGGTAACATGACAAGCACTAGAATCAGGAAAGAGAAGAGTGTTCTACAGCTCGCTAGATAAAGGTGAGACCACTTTGGTTCTTGTATTGATACTTTTATTACATCATTCTAATTTCCCACACAAGTGGCTTTCATGGTGAGAGATCAACTCTTGATAAAAGTATTATTGCTGAGCAAATGAAAATACCTTATTCTTTAACTTTTTTATGAATTTAATGAGTAGAAACAGTACCCTGCTCATGCAATCCGTTGTATTATTTACCCAGTTCAGAATTTTTTTTTTAATTTTGAAATTATATTAAATTTTCATCAGAATGTTTCTGCTTATTTGTGTTTTTACTTATACATTTATTACTTTTATATATAGCACATGATGAGAGATTGTTGCCCATTTCAGGCTAATATGTGAAACTCAAGCTCAGAGTGGATCAAAACATGCTAGCTTCCCACCAAGAGGTTCGAACTTCTTTGATTCCTTTTGCTGAACCATTTCTTCTGGAGAAGGTTTTCTTCAGAATGGAGAACTTGTAGCTCCAACGGTACATGATCATGGATATGAGATCTTTGCACATAAGTTATTAGTTTAATCTCACTAGATTGTTTACAATTGCCTTCTTGTTCCATAATGAGAGTAGACAAATTCATTAGATATGGGCCTAATTTTAACTTTATTAATTGCCTTTGATTTTCTATAGTATGTTGTGGTGGATTACCTTGGGTATAGGTGGAAAGTTAAAGGCGCTTCACAATAGAAGTGGCCAAGAAAGTTCATAGCATGGGTTTGAAATTCGGGATTCAAGTTATGAGAGGTATAAGCACACAGGTGGTCAATGCAAATGTCCATATCTTATACATCACCAAGGTATTCTGCCTTATTACCATATGAAGAAATTTTGTCTCTCTTGTGTGTAGAAATTGAGTATGGTTCATTCATTGGAGTTCATATGTCGCAAATAACCAATATGTAGAAACTTGATGCAAATTCAATGCATTTAGAGATTGGACTATAGCCTAATTTTTTGTCCCTCAATGCAACTGTGTAACAGAGAGTCTTTGTGCATGGATGTCCCATGGTTTCATGGGTGTAAATATGAAGTTGAGAGCTAGAAGAGCATTTTGTAGGTCCCTCTATCAATAGTATGCCGACTAGGGCGTTGATTTTGGTTGTTTAACAGAATGGGGCTGGAAATCATTCTCTTTGTTTCTATACCTTACGGCAGCCCTGTGCTGGCAATAAAATTAATTATAATGCACATGTAGATATCAAGTATAAAACAAATTTGGTCATGCTTTGCATTTTATTTTAAATAAGTTAAGTTTTTTAATGGCATCTACACTGACTTTATATTGTTTCCACTCCCATCCTGGGATATTTACATACACAAATAACTAAAATCAATGAACCACCCATGGCTCAACCTTTATTTGAGATCATAAAATTTTCTAGCATTACCAGAGTTGAACGTCAGTTCTTTATTTCTATTTCTATTACAGATGGTACTAGAAGACTTGGTGTTTGCAACATCGTGGTAGTGCTCCTAATTTGTCACCTTGATTAATCACTTATTGGATATCATCTTAGTAGCCAATTTCTATTAGCCAGCTACTAACTAATTGCTTTATTTGGCAACGATTTGAGGTGCATTTTTTTCTGCAATTTTTGTAAATTCTTCCAAAAAGACTGGGATTTGTATCGATGATATTAAAAGTGCCCTAATACCACAATAAGTAGACATTAGCTAAAGTTATAAAGCTATTGATACTTTTATTACTTACATGTGAATTCAATTACATCATTCTAATTTCCCACATTGGTGGCTTTGTGAGAGAACAATTCTTGCTAAAAGTATTGTTGTGCGGCAATGAAAATAACTTGCAATATGTTTTAAAGGACGCTTCAAATTTCTTCGAATGCTAAGTTTTTATCATTACTATGGTTTGTAAGCGAAGGTTCGAATTGCTTCAATGAACTATCCTTAAATAAAAGTTTCATATCATTTTGGTTTATCATCATATCCTAACATCATGTAGTTCATGGGGGTTATTGGGAATATATTGTGAAGCTAATGATATCATTTTTTTGTTTGCTGAGTGTTAGTTGAGATAATTGAATGGAAAGAAGTATATTGATGGTCGCAATTCAAATGGGGTTTATCTTCCTACTCCCCTCTCCCCTATATATATATTTCAACATTAAGACCATGACTTACAACAAGTATGCTCTTTTATTAAATTTCCATTACACTCACTCAATACGTTTTTCAAACATTGGTCGTGAATATTTTTGTTGCTAATTGAATTATTGAAAATTCACTATTTAAAAATTTTGGACCCAGTATCACTTCATGTTAGCTTGTTAAATTAGATTCTTTAAATTAAGAGTTTGTTAATTGTTTAGGTTCACCTATATGGTTACTTGGTTACGTCGATTGTTAAGTTGAATGAAGCGTTGACGATTACTTGTAGTTTTAATGCAATTCATTAATAATCGTTCTGATATTGACAGGTATACACATAACATATGGGATGTTGGGGGGCGAAGGACTATAAGATCTAATTGAATGAACTCTTTTGAACTAACTAATGGTTTGGTGTGGGTGGTTGATAGCTCCGATCTTAGAAGGTTAGATGATTGCAAATATGAACCCTATAATCTTCTGAAGGAAAAGGTATATCTCATTCTGACTCTTTCTTTTTGTATTATGTTGTCTCTATTTTTAAAGAGATAGGAAAAAAAATATGAACTTGGAATTTTTTAGGGGGCCAGCCCATGAGTTTTCAGGAAACAACTTAAGCATTTCTGTTTGTCTATAAGCACTTCACTTTGTGCAATTTGAGTCAATCTACGAATGGTAGCATACTTGATGTATTTTACAAAAGGTTTACGCACCTTATAAGTAAGTTATGACAGGGTTTATTTTTTTATTTTTAAGTTCTATGCAAGACATTTTGAATTATTACATGCCCTTGGAAGTTGGATGTTTCTTTTCCGTGGGGGTAGTGTCATCACACGCACAATCTGTCTTTTCTACCTTTTCAATTTTTTATATTGCATGTTCGTGTTTGTAACAATGATACTATCATGCCGTGAGCTAACTCATAAACCAAAAAATGGTATGCCACTTTGTTTTGCAGCCCATGATTTGGTACAATCTCAATTTTGTGGTTCTAATTTTACTGTATACAATATTACATGCATCCATGTACTGCACCCATTCTTATTATGGGTATACTGCGAAATAGATTCATGGAGACAGTGGGTGGAAGGGGGCAATGTAATATTTTGTTGTGGATTGTTTTTTTTTTTTTCACTATTTTAACTTAGTTGATTCAAACACCAAATGAGTGGACATCTTAGATTCATTAAATAAATGAGTTGAGATGAACACAAAAACCTACTGAAAGCAAATAATAATGATACCTTTCTTAGTTATTGTACATGTTATCAACGGCCCAGTTTTGATGTTGTGGTACGTCAATGTAGAATTTTAGTGCATATTTTTTGGCCTAATATCATTTGTTTGCATAATTAAGTTTTAATTCTTTTGATATAGGTTACAACTTGATGAAGTCAAGTTTCTGTTTCAATATTTGACTGCAAAATTGTAGAGGTGCTACATGAAAGCTCTTCAAATGAAAAGAATCCTGCAAGCACAAATGCTCAAGCAGCCCCTCCGTGTTACTAGGGACAATGGCATTCCAAGAAGGGTTGGTAAAATTGTTTGGGTTGGTAACGAAAGCAAAAGAGAAGTGTTATTTTTTTAGATTGGGGGTGGGGCTAATAATCGGCTCATTGATTTTGGTTCTATTTAATATATTGACTTTTGTAGCCTAATGTGATTCAAACCCCACCTCTAATACTAGCTATCTCGTACTTTCAATTTATTTCAATGTTTTTATTTCTAAGTGTTTCTTTTGTTTGTTAAAATAATTTTCATTAATGAGATTTTTGTTTTTTGTTCCTAGCTATGGATGTAATAGTACGATCATATGTTAGTTCGAGTGAATCTTGTTATTTTGTTCCTTTATTTATCTTTTGCTTCTCCATACATTTCCCGTCGTATTCCCAAGTTGCTTGGGGAAAAAAAACGGAAGGGAAAAAATAAAATTAAAAGTAAAATAATTCATATGCAATGTACATGTGTCCTAACTAGTATAGTAAAAAAATCAATATGTTCTAAATAGAGTGGAGTGTTTGTTTTAGTAATCATGGCAGGTCAGTCAATTTAAAATTGATGTTTGCATTTAATCTTGCACTTAAGTTGGTCCCACTCAAATCATCTACGTGTTCATTCAGTCGTGAATTCCGATAAGGAGGGATAATTGAGTTACACTTTTACCACATGCTCGTCCTCGAAGAATTAAGACCCCGCTCCCCTTCTTACAAAACTTGGGCCAACATTTCAGCTCTGAGGCCACTCATATCGCCCTACACTCCCAAGTAATGCAATAAAAAACTAAACAGCAATGCGGAGGAGCACCATGACCCCGAGAGAGAGAGACCCAAACAGCACAGTCACAAACAATTTGGAACTTAATACTAAATAGGGGTAGACAAATCAATGCCCATACAAGTAACACCAATCATACTATCGAATGTTTTTACATGAATCCACTGTAGGTTTGGAAATCCGTTTGTTTTGATAAGCCCCATTCCAGACTCATTGATATATACTATAGTATCAAGTTGCAGTAGTGGTGGTGGTGGTGGTGTTATCATGAGCGTAAATAGATTCCTTGTGATACAATTAACAGAAACTCCCAGAAATCTGACCATTTGACAAACTGCGGCCTCCACCTCCATTACAGACAAGCCCCCGCGCTTCAGTGCTTTACAGAAAATTACATGGGCATTTTTTCCCATTCTCCCAACATAAGCCACCAGAAACAGATCATAGTGTTAGGATGGGCCACTGCTACCCTAATGCACTTCCTAGGGTCGTATGGGAAGCTTGGTGAAGTGAAAGCTTAATCGTGTGGTTCCCAGATGATCTGTGTATGTCCATACATTCCTCAAGATCAGCGTCGCACATTAAAAGAACCCACTCGGACTCATCATCTAAATACTTTAGATTGATTTTGCTGATATCGTCTACATTAAATCGCCCCACAATTTCTCGCTGCAACTCTCCAAAGCAACAATTTTGTTGCATGCTGAACCGGATCTTAACTTCCCCCCAAGTGGCTTTTACTCTAAAAGTGCTTGCTTTGCAGAAAAGCTGGCTGCTACTTCTTGGTAAAGGAGGTGGAGCCTCAAGCCAAGGATGCTCACTAAAGAAATTATGGCTATGAGACCTTATTGGAAACTTTGTTTCCTCGTGACACAAGTCGTGCAACTCTGGATTGCTGCATACTCTCTTCAGCACCCCACCAGGCTGTACTGCTGATAAACCATCTCCAGTACCTGAGGCAATGATGGCAATAGACGGTTGCTTTGTTCCAGTGGAACTGGAGCTATGACTGCCGGAAGAAGAATGTGATTTTGAAGCCGTGATTCCAGGGCTCACTAAGCTGCCCTCAGGTTGTGTGTTTAACCTCATCTTAGAGGTGGAGAGGGGGCTTGTCCCAGGTAAATTTGGAGAGCTTAGTTCGGGGAAGCTTGTATAGAAGGAGCTGAGTTGAATAGCACCCTCTGCGCCTTGGACAGAATCAATTACGCGTTGGAGTTTCCTCAAGGAGTGGCCTACCTTTTTGATTTTTCGAGAAGGCCATCGGTTGATGCCATGTTGCCTGCATATCCTCTTCAAAGTAGTGGGGCACACTGCAAGTGGGAATAATTTGGTAAGCAGGTGAGCTGAGTAGCTTACATGCATAAAATCATATGGCAAAGAACTACCAATTTAACTCAGCCGCTAAGGATATCCATGCTTCATGGCATGTAGTCAATTCAAAAATCTAGGACAGTACAAAATGATAGATACTCTGGCAACCTTGTCTATGCAACGGTGATGAATCTCTTGTAAAGAGAACGCACAGCTTAAAAAGTTTGTGACTTGAAACGAAAACTTCCACTCCCGATGCTAATGCAGATTTGAGGGAAAAGAGACATTGGGTGCAGAGTCAGATTTCACAAGAAGTCATTTTGTACAAAACTTTACAACCAGTTGAAAATTAAATAATTGTATGTCAGGGTTAAGGAAAAAAAAGAGAGGAAGGAACAATGTGGTCGGTAGGCTATATATATTGCCAACCCTATCACTATTTATACTACATTGATATTGAAGACAATTACAATATTAGGAAAGTAGAAAACAATAGGAAAATCATATAGTAGGAAAGTAGAACAATAGGAAAATGACATATTAGGAAAGTAACCTAATAGGAAAGTAAAACAATAGGAAAGTAATACTCTAACACAACCCTTCAGATATAAGGATAATAATATTGCAAAAGTGAGTTGGAAGCAACAAAATTACAGAGGAACCTAATGAAAAAGTCACAAATAGGATTGAACTCAGTTTTTTGACCAGCTGGTTTCCCGACCAAAAATCAACTTATCAAACAAGTCTCGTTTAAATGCAGCTTTGCATCTTGTCATTAGCAAATAAAGTATTCCACTCCACGAATAAGTGGAACTCTTGATTTTATCCAGAAGCTAACTTAGAGTATAGAGGGAAGCCTACACCAACAGCAAAGCAAAGGATGAAAAACATGCTACAAGCAAAACTGAAGATTTCCTAGTAGAAACACATCTGAACAACTCAATATTATAAGAAACAATTCTGAAGTTTCTCAAGTAGTACATAGAACTTAAAACGGTCATGCATACTTCCAATATTTTTTCTAACATTTTCTAATTAAAACTGTTATATTGTAAAATGGGGGATGAATCTGGGCTTTAAAAAAAATTTAAAATTTTGTAATGGTGGTCCTGACCAGTAAATGGTTGGAATCTCTAGATGGAATGTTAATCCTTAGCTGACAAATTTAAATTTAATGTAACTCAATCTAGAACAGATGTCTTGAATAATTAGTAGTGAATATTGTCTAACCCCCAATACTCTTAGCAGCATCGTTGAGGCTCCCAGCAAAGTATTGCCGAAGTACTTCCAAGCTGATGGTCTTCTCTGTCTTCGTTTGTCTTTTTTCGCCTGTTTTTCTGGCACCTGAAGAGCGATGCCAGCCAACAGAAGAAATGTCCCCATCACCCTTTGTGCTTCTTTTGGTGCCAGAATCTTGCTGAAGTTGCTTCTGTTCTGAGAATACTGGCTCATGGTGTATCGCTGCTTCATTGCTATCCCTATGGATTGTCACCTTGAACCCTCCTTCTGGCTCCTCTTTCTGATACTCCATGGAGATCGCAACACTCTTACCTTTTCTCTGGGCTTCCCTTATGTCAGCACTCAAGGATGACTCATCTTGAAAGGGTGAAGGAGAAGATACCAACTTCGGATTGGTCTCTTCATCTAGTCTACCACCTGAAGGTGTGACTGTTTCTCCAACTAGGAATGCAGATTCTTCTGCTGGTTCCTGGTCTGTAACAACACGTAAGCTATGACATACCTGTTGTATCATAGAGGATAATGAGTTCAGTATCTGCTTTTGTTCTTCAGAACCTTTGCAATCAAGTGGCAGGAAGAACTCCAAGACGAAATCATCCAACCCTGTGTGGATGCTTTGAAATCGTATTGCCACAGCTGCATGCAATCCAAACATTCTGGCATGATGAGAGAGAGGATACTCGGTCTTGCTGAAAGCTGTAATGTCAGTGGCGAAACATAGCTGGTTTGTCATGAATGCTCCCCCAGCAACACCTTCACCTCTAAGGAGGTGATGCTCAGAGCAGGCTTTGTGGAAGTCCAATACTTTAGGATTTGGCAGATAGCAAGCAGAATCTATGGTGGAAACACAGAAAGTGTAGTTCTCATCAGAATGTCGGCACCCACCTCTACCTTGTTGGACACATGGGGCCCAAGTCTGGGCCAAAGGCAATTCATAGGTGTCACAGACAGCTTTCAAAAGGTCTCGAATCTCTGCTAGTGCAGTTTGGTAAGAATCGTTGCAATCCTGATACAGAATCATACCTGTGATATCCGAAATGAAAATGTATTTCAAGTTTTTAGATTCAGTTTGTTTGAGGTATCATCTATTGTACCTTTAGTTTGGGAGGACTCAAGATTTCAAAACTCCTTAAATCAACAGCCTGCAAGTAAAACATGTTTGTTCAGAAAAGAATACAATAGGATGAAGTCAAATCAAAACTGAATCTTAAAATTCATTTTGCTGTATCCTAGTGAAGGAGAACTCAGAGTAGAATAACTCTTTCAGGAAGGAAGATAAGCATGATCATGGTGAAGAAAATACGATAGTAAGGACACTATTTAGACAACATGGAAGGGGTGTACAAAAAGCAAATGGGCATATAGGAACAGAAATAGGGAGAATATGAGTATATCAGTGAGAGTTTGTAGGCAGTTCTCCTCATGCTTGTGATATGAAAAGGTAAAACAGAGTTGAAAGCTGATGGTAAAGGGGGATTCTTGAATGAAGAGAGGCCCCTGATGAGATGGCTTAGATGGTACAAATGCTGGGCCAACAATTCATGTGACATTTGCAGTGGAAAAAAGATTAAACAGATTACATCCAGACTATGTGTGAAATCTGTGTTCTTATAATGATTTGAGTTTTTAAAACAAGTCAACCATTCTGATCTCCACTCAACAAAACTTACGACGACGACAAAGAAGAAGAAGACACACCTCAAGAGCTCGGCGGACATTTTCAAGTTCGGGTTGATAATTGGCTTTTTGAGTAGTTGTCACAATCTCAACAACACCCAAGCAAGTGCCACTACCACGTTCGAAAACAGGAACTGCCAGAGATCCACTAACATTGTACTGTTGGGCATGCTTAATACGTGGGTACTCCTCTCTTTTGAAGAAGCGAACATCAGGAGTCCACTCAGGCAACTTCTTCAAGAAAACTCGGCCAGGCAACCCAACAAACTCCTTCGAGTCTTCCTCAGCCGAAAACTGATAGCTCCTGGAAACATCTCTATAATCTGCAAGACTCTTGCAGTTTGGATTGAGGGAAAATGGTTGATTGTTAGTGGTAAGGACATGTCTGCCTCCTCTCTTTATAGGCACCCATATCTGAATAAGGACATCTCTATCTCTAGTGGTTTCTTTTAGATACTCAATTGCCTGCATTAATCTCTTTTTAACTGAGATACGTGGTCTAGGATTTTTACTTGGTGCAATCCACAATCTTCTGTTGCTTTCAGTGCCTTCAACTAGAAATCTTTTAGATTGACCTGAAGATGCTGTGGTTTCTTGATTTTGCATTTGGCTTTCAACGAAATGATCCTCATGGGAATATCCAAGAGGTACGGTGTCATCAAAAATTGATCTTTCTGTTTCTTCATTGCCTTTCTGATGCGGATTTGGATCTAAATAGTCCATCCTAGAATCTGAACTAGGAAAGCAATATAGAGGAGAATTTAAGGAGGTGGAAGCTGATGGAATTGGCTGCCAAATATTGGATCCATCAGTAGTCTCCAACCAGAACCCGTCATACAAGAGTTCATCCATGAGGTTGAAATCCATAGTGTTGTCTGAAAGTGTTTTCAGCGCGTAAAGGCATCGTTATCCATACTGTATTTTTTAGCCTAAATCACCCAAAAACCAAGGAGTCATGAACCAAAGCACAAAAGAAATGTAATTTACGAAAAACAAAAAGTGGAACTTCCAGGAAGTCGCTTGTCTTCAAAAATCAAATCAGTCCAGGTCACACAAACATCATCAACATAAATTTCTTTGGAACTGCCATCAGAAATACATTTTAGAGGAAAGAACCCAAACAAAGATTCATACAGGAATAAGAGACTCATACTGAAAATAAATTCATAGAGAACAGGGACATCAATTTGTTGGGTTCATGCAGGAATAGACTTGTAGTAAGAAATCCAACTAAAGACAGCATTTCACAATACCGAGTGAGAATTACCAATCACAATCTCAATGAAGAATTGGGGCACTAAAGGTTTGGTTGATACTTTAGCCGACCCTAAACAGATGGGATTCATTCACCATTATCTTCAAATCCAATATAAGCAAGAGTAATAGAAATCAAAGGAACCTTTTGAACCCAAAATCATCACCACCTCTACTGTGATGTCAGGAATCGCAATATGACTTTAAATAACAAATCAAATAAAGAATCATGGGTAAAAAAAAAACAACCCAGTTCATCAAACCCAAAAATCAGATATAAATTACGTTTAGAAGAAAAGAGGAAATTCAGATTCACTTTGGAAGAAAGAAAAAAGAGAAGAGGAAGAAGTAAGTGGCTCACTTTGTGAAGATTCTGAATGGGAACTCTTGGCAGCAAAGATTCTGTAGGTAAACTGATAGATATGATGATGGAGGCCTGAGGCCCTGAAGGGTGGGTTAGCCTGTTCCCTCCTCAAACCCCCCACCCACTAGAATAAGAAGCTATTTTCTGAACCAGAGAGATGTTTTCTATCCCAAGTTTGCTTTGGCTGCTGTCAATCAAGTTTCCACTTCCGGGTCGTATATTTCAAGGCCGCTACGAGAGGGTTTATTACGAAGAATCTGTTATTCTCCTCCAACGTAGGACCCACAAAGTGACCAGGAGCAGGAGGGGTGGAAGTGGAAGAATTACAATGCCCTTGAGAAGCTGAGATGACAATAGCGATTATTCATGTTGCTGCTAGATAACTCAAGCTCATAACACTCATGCCGGGAGACTGGAGAGAGAGAGAGAGAGAGAAGCCATGTTGGCCTGGTTTATGATTCTCTCCGGAAGGGAATCTGCAAAGAAGAATATTACCCTTGATGAGTAGTCCTCAAATTTAATTTTTAAAAACTCACAAAATTTATAATCACAATACAATACGATTTTTGATACCCTAAACTACTCCTTTAAGTAAGTCGATTGAGCTTCTCCTATACATGAGTGGATTATTCTTATCCCACAAATATTTATTCTCACTCATTTTAATTTTTTATTATCTAATTACTAAGTTCACTCATTTTATACTCATCTGATTTATAATTAAGCCAACACTATTATTGTATGTTTCTTCTAATTAATAGAAATTTTATTTGTCATAATAATAATAAACAAGTTGACAATTTAAGTGATAAAGCAACCCAAGATCAAATGTTCATATCTAGGCATAGTTATATATGTAAAGGACAACTTCATATAAAAAATTCATAGATCATAAAATTTTCTAAAAAGTCATTCTCGGCCTTTAATTATATAATTTCTTTTGCATATTTGCTGAATACAATTTGTTTTCAATGGCTTAAGTTAATAGTTTTTACATTGGATTTTGGATTGTGAAACTACAATTGTGTTTTTATCACAACTTTTATAGATAAGTTTCTTGACTTCTTATGAGTTTTGACATCAAATAGGAGCGACACTCTGCATAATTGTTATTTTAACATAAAATTTTATTAGTTTCTTTACTAAACATTCATTACATAAATATATATATCTGTGTGTGTGCGCGCACACATATTGCTAAAACTACTTAACAAAAGCATTATGTTGGTTATAGTGTTTGAAAGTTGACTAATTCTTCAATTAATTAAAAGTAACGATGAATTCAAACATCTCTTAAGATTACAACTTTAAGCAGAGTACCTCTATTAATTCTTTTGTATTATAATAATATTTGTTTAACAAGAACTGCTCACAATCACTCTTATCCCAAATATGCAAAAATGTGCTTCAAGTGTAAACAAATTAATAGGAGTTGGTTTCTATTGATATGGAATGTAGAGTTAAATTAATTGTTTTTGAGAGTATTCCACAACAAATATTTTATACTCAAAATAGTTCACATGTAATACATGTATGCACACACTAGTTTTAATAAAAAATCTTGACACTTATTGTTGACTCTCTCCACACAACTGATAGTGAGTTCCAATAAATATTGAAACTCATTATTAAATCAATGATAGTGATGTTGGAAGTCAAGAGATGTTGTCAATATTTTTTATCCAAGTAACATTACTCCTCCGAGACAATCCCCCAAAACGAAGTTTATTAGTTTGCTTCATATTTTTTAACAATGTAGAATTAATTTACTAATCCAACAAAAAAGAGTTAAATTAGGTCAAGAACTCGTACCAATAAATTAAGTCACACAAAGGTTGGTTTTTGTATATTCAAAATAAGGTTAGTTGGTATAATGAAATATGACTTTTTTGAGTTGACTAATGGAACTTTAATGCTGCATATATATATATATATATATATATATATATATATATATAGCTTTTATTTTTCACTGTCGACAATGTTTTCTTTAGTTAATAACGATTAGCGTGTTTTGAACCAGTTATCTTCCTCCTCTTTTAAGATGAAACTTAAGCATTTTATCATATATAATTTTTATTAAATTGTGTTTTAATGAATATGAAGTTGCAGGGCCTTTCAACAATCTAAACATATTACAAAACAATTATATATATAACATATTGGCTCTAGATGCTTCCAATTTGAATTTTTAATACTGATCAAGCTTAACATCCACAGTGATCATATGATCCAATGAGTTTAATAGTAGATGATCAATTGGATTAAAATTGTGAAAGTTCGAAATTGAGAGAATCAAAATCCAAATGTACAATAAAAATTTTATTTTATTCCTTAACCTCTTTTATTTTATTTATTTATTTTTGATAAAAAGTAGACAGAATCAACACATAATTTTTTAACTACTTACCCAACATCAACACAGGTTATAATAAGGCCCCCTACTCTTTACCTGGCTCTCAAAATGGTGGGGGTGGGGGGACATGTTCTCTAATCGCCGCATCCGGCAGACGCGGTCGCATGCTATTGTAATTTGCAGTCGCATACTATTGTAATTTGTAAATGGAATCCTCACCACTCCAGCCTTTTGACTAATGGTTCACTGCAGGGAGAGAAGGAGAATATTGTGGCCAGTGGCTCATCACTTGTACAAAACCAGCAGGCCTCGGCCAAACTCCAAGTATATATGTTGCTAACGAGGAAACACAAACATTACCACTTAAACTAATCCAACATATATTACAGTATAACGACGTGATTAAGGATACTGATTTTAATGTAGGAGGTCCCACTTAACTTCCGTTCAGTGCGTGGGCAAGTAAACGTCGAATCTTACACAAGTTTTGTTGTTGCAGACTTGCAGTTAATATATCCTAATCCTAATCCTCTTGATCCATCCCTTAGACTTTGACAACACCCTGCACGTACTTGTATAATTATACACCTGCAGACTTAATCCAAGGGATCTATATATATTATGCTAGCCTGATGATAGATCCAACAGCTCTAGTGCAATGTGATTCATCATCAGCTAAAGCCTAAAGCTAGCTCAACTACTAATGAATGATTGTGAGCTCCAGTCACACTCAGTTATCGCCACAAGTATATATTTATATATGATATAAAAACAAGTTTATGCCATTGAAAATCAAACTCTTAATTATTATAGAAACTTTGATCAGTCATTGAAAACGAAATAAAATGTTAAATGAGTAGCCAACCTTGTGACTATATCCAAAGAAATGCTAAATTAAGGCTTCTCTTGCGTCGATTCACACAAACCTATAGTGAAGCTCAATTATTCCTTTATATTGTATGGATGAATGATGGATCTGTTGAGGCTGACTCATACACCAGTATCCTCCATGTATGATTCTCAACCAATGGATTCTCCTCTCGAACATCAGCATCTTTCCACATTCAACACTGTTGATAATAAACAACCACAAATCCGGAACCTTGTGCAGGTGGGTTTTTATTACTTTATTTCCCTTGGTAATGTTGACGTATATGCATCTTCTTTTGTTTATGTTTCATGGCATGTAACTTACCAACATGACAACCACCAAACTAGGAAGGATTTCCATGAACAATAATGGCAGCAACATACATGATACGGAGAACAAGATATACATATAACTTTAATGGGGAGAGGCATCACTGCTTACAATGTCTTCCGATCAGTTTAGTCATACATATTTTGCAAGGCTTTCGGCTATTAAATTAACCATAATATTCAGTTTACTATTTGTTGGAGTATAGTCTAGTTTATTAGGCTTTCTTTTCCCTTTTTTACTATTACTATGACTTTTATATTTTGTCTAGACCACAAAGATATTTAGGTCACTTTGTATTATTATTTGGCTATATATACAGGGCTCTACTCTTAGTGTGAGTATCCTTTTTTCTCTTTCAAATATTTCAAGTTGGTATCAGAGCCAAATCCTAACCCTAACTCTAACCTTCAGCCATACCCAAAACCAGCCACTGCCCACCAGCGAACAACAATACCGAGCGTTAACAGAAGCCACCCAACAAACAACAAATACCGACCAGACTGCCTACACCGACTAGCATACAAAAACAGTCCCCCGACTAGCTCCATCAAACCAAGCCACAATCAAACAGATAGCAACCGAAACCGAACTGCCCAACAACAATCTGCTGCCTCCATAAAGCACCGACTGCCTACACCGACCAACATACAAAAACAACCCACCGACTAGCTCCATCAAACCAAGCCACAATC